CCGTGTTCTTGAAGTTTTGTTTCCTAACGTTTCGCCAGCACCTGTGACCGGCATCTTCAGAGTGCAGGAGCACAGACAGGAGCAGGTGCTGGCGAAACATTAGGAAACAAAACTTCAAGAACACGGCCACGCAGCCCGGAACACCCACACCAGCCATCGAATAAATGAATGTTGTTATTGTAAATAAATAAAATTAATAAAATTAATAAATAATAAAAATAATAATGCTGTAATGATAAATACCTAAATAATCTAGCCTGCTCCAAACATATTTGACTCAGAAACCAGGCCCCACAGGATCAGTACTATAACCACTGGCAATTGTACTCTTCTGAGTCCATACAAAACCAGAAGCGATAGGAAAATGGTTTCAGTACAGTACAAATTATATCCTAAGCATATTTACATTTTACCTATAGTTTCATTTTTGTTCAGTCTTCTGTTATCAATTAACCAATGTTTATTAGTCCACTGAGTATTGAAAGCAGACAAAAATCATTAAAAGCAGCTCTAAAACGTCAACCTATGACAATGTAGCCATTTCTATAGTAATGTCATAATACTGCAGTTTTTATATACTGGCTGATCATTTCATCAGATGTAACAGAATTCAAGTTTTACTGCTTGTATACAAGGGAGGGAGGGAGGGAGGGAGGAAGGAATTGGGAGCAGTGTTACAAGTATGGCAGCTGGGGATGGTGGACTTGTACTTCAAATACATCTGGACTGAGTCAGCTTGTAGAGGGCTCTGTTTTCTACAAGTACAATCTCTTTCTTCTCCACATACTGGATGGCTGGAATGACAGCTAATGCGGCAGGAACAAGGTATGGCCAGGGGACAATTTTTAAAGGAGAGCATTGGATTCAAGAACAGAGGCAGCAGTTATGACCTTTCTTTTTCAAAAAGCCTTCTAGGTTCCTACAGCTCAAAGTGGTTCAAAATGTGCCAAACACTGTTAAAACACTGCATATGTATATATACTTTTTATGCTGTATAATCCTGCACTCAACTTTCTCAAATAAGCTAGGATGTGAAGCTAACAAGTCAGACCTTGTTCCTAATTTTTAATCCTCATTTCTTTGGAACAAATGAATCATGATCCCAGGGCACAATATGCCATCCTTCTTGATTTCTTTGACCTGCTTGCAGGAAGAAAGAAATGTGGGAGCAAACTGGCTAGGAGCCCTAGCAGACTGCTCAAGGACAGTTAGGCTGGAGTAAACCATAAATCTTGGCTTCCAACAAAAACCATCATTAAGCATTCCTTTGCTAATAAACCAAGCCCACACTTACTTGTGAAGCTGCAAAGTCAAGTTTTTGAAGGCCTACAAGGTAGCGGTTCCTCATCATATCAACTTCATGCCTTTTGGAGTTCAGCAGGGTTTTAAAAGTCAGAATTAATTCCAAGTAGGATGTGGGTGTGACGTAATTGTGCCTTCGAAGAATGTTGTAATAACTGACCGAGAGTTCCCTTACGCTCTCTTGAAAATACTTGCACATGAATACAACCCTACAGGAAAGCATTTACATGTGAGAAATAGTTATTGGGATCAAGAGAGTCAAAAGATCAGATTCTGTCCATGAAAATATAACAGCCACACAAGTCTGCTTAAGTACTGATTTAAGAGGTATGGACAGGGCACAAAGTTATAGTTTAACTAGGATTAAGCAGAACTGGCAAAATCAGTTTGAGTGAATATGCACCAAAAATCAACCTTCAAAAAATACCTAGACACTCAAATGGACAAGGGACTCAATAATTATCATAAGTGATTTTCATCATCATCAAGGGACTCAACAATTATCATTATTACCATTACCCACCACCTACCTTTATATAAAGCACACATATCTGCATTTGGCTGTCATTTATGATAAGCTTATTTATTAATAAATGCCAAATGCAGATAAGCTTATTTATTAATAAGCTTATGAGCTTATTTATTCCAATCTGAATGTGGATAATTTGAGTGCCCTGAATTTTTAATCGAGATTCTGTGTCCTTCTGCCATTTTACTACTCTTATGAGTTACGTACCAAAACTTGCTTACAGCTTCATTACTTACATATGTATTTGAAAACACCCTTAATTTGCATTGCAAGCATTTCTACCCCCCCAAAAAAGTTAATATAAGAAGAGAGGAAAGGTACACAGCTCTATAGTCATTTCATAACATACGATTTTCTGATTTCGTCTTCCAGCTTCACATCCTCTAAGAATTTGTTTGCAACCATTTCCAGAGCATCTGTGGGCCACCGCTGGAACCAATCGATAGTGCAACAATTGATCAGCGATGGGAACATTCGTAAGCGATTCCGGAATGCATCTCCAATTGGGCTCATTGCTGAAAAGGATAGAATATCCCTCCTCAGATCTGTTGAATCAATTATTAGCATGTTTCCTGATCTGATGTTCACCAGAGGTGCTGGACCACAAACCCCCTCATCTTCCACAGCCAACACGGTCACATTTACAGAAAGAAATTAGGGTGAAAAAGGAACAGGATAAAAACCTTATGTAGATTTTTGCTTCACATGATCACGAAGCAAGGAACAAAGGTTATCTGTACAAAAAACTGCCTATGTTCACCTAACAGCTGAAGACTAGCAGTGGCATTCAGACAACATGCTAAGCTTGGCTAGTTTTAACCTTGGTTAGGTTTTTTTGTGGCTTCAAGTATTGTGCAAACCCGCCATTTGGTTAATATATGATTTTCAACGTGTAAACTTAGAAAATAGGTCAATTCAGTAAAAGTTGCATGAACAGAACCAGTATGAAGCAGAGAAAAAATCAACTAGGTTTCATATACCTAAGGAAGCCATGGTTTAACTTAGCCAACTTTTGTTGTGTTGACAAACACAGCCAAGCCTTTTTTTCCCTAACATACTCAGTAAACAAGTGACAAGGTTTATCCATATCTAAATATCATTTTTTTTCTTCACATACTCAGTTAAAAAAGAGATGTGTCCTCTCTAAATGTAGATTTTGCTTGAGATGCTCAACAAAAAGGTCCTAGAGTACTCATACCTAGAACAATGTGTAGATTTTTCTTCACACGCTCAATAAAAAAGTTATACATGGCCAGAGGTGTGGCTTCAATCCTCCTTCCTTCAGTCCTAGCCGCACTCTGCATTTTCTCCACAATGTCTGCCTTCTCGTCTGCTGCAAAAATGTTAGGCACATCCCCAGTGTTCAGAAGCATGTTGATATCCTCAACAAAAGACTCATCTTTTATCTGGTTGTCGCAGAACAAGAACACCGTGCTCTTGTTGGCCACCCCCGATTGCAGCATGACCCTCTTAACGTCCTCCCTCCATTCGTTCATGGTGTAGAACTTGGTGATCTCAATCATGAAGAGCTCGTATGAGTTCATGAAGGTGCCCAGCTTGGTGGCACTCTGCCGGCCACTCCCACCAATGCCCACCAGAAGCAGATGGCCATTGTCTTGCTTCAGGACGCGACAGATGCGGGAAATGTGCTCAATGGCAAATTTAAACATGACCAAAGACATAGGGGCCTTGCTGATATTGTTGAATTCCTCCAGGTAGTATTCCATGACCGATGTCAGTTTCTGCAAGTCCGTGATCTCATCATATATCTTTTTGTCACTGGATGGCTTGAAATAGTCTCCAAAGAAGAGACTCCGAATGTTGTCATCAGTGATTTTGCTGGTACGAGACAAATGGCTTAGTACCTGTGGAAGAGGTAGAAGAGGATCTTAGATAAATAGGGCTATATTGTTGCCACCCTTAGGTGGATATGGCAGGTCAAAGTAATATCACTTATCCATCTTTAAAAAAAATTTATCTGCACTATTGAAGAGCGAAGCATTATCGGCAACCTATTTTTTGGCAACTGATTGAGAATCTTCAGAGCAGACCATAAGCACTCCCACAAAATGGCTGCCCAGGTGATGACTTAGCAATTCACAAAATGGCTCCCACAGTTGGCTGGGCTGGTTAGATAACACATATTTCTATCAGAAGATAAATGGGAATAGTTGCTCCCTGCCAAGGCAGCCTCTGAGTTGCTCCTTCTCCCCCTCCCATTCTTATTTATTTTTGGAGGTAGGCCCACATCTGGGGGGGGGGCAGTACCCTGCCATTTTTATTTTCTCAGAATGCCTATGGGAGCCATGTGGTGCCCAGAGGCATTCTGGGAAATAACAATGATGCTAGTGCTTTGCTTTGCATCATCAGTGCAGGTAAGAAACTTGATGGGTGTCTAGAGAATGTTGTGGCCAAAACCTGGCTCACCTAAAACAATCACTCTGAAAATACAAGATAAATTTATTAGCATGCAAACAATAAAACACTGGCAGCTTGCTGAGCATCCCTGAGCAAAAGCAGAACCACGGCTTATATATTTTTGGCCTACTCCATTTCAAATACGAGACAAATAAAAAGGCAGAAGTAATGTAAATTACAGCATGACATCAGAATGTTTTAGATAACTCCATCTGGGTGACCTTCTTATTATTGATCCCTTCCTACTAGGTCAGCATGGCAGCTATACTATCTTTGAGATATGGTCAGTGAATATAAACAATTTGGTTGACTGGGCCACCAGGCCCTATCTGATTCCTCCCCCTGTCACCACTCAGGGTCAATTCAGTTTGCTGTGGATGTTTTTCTTACAAGGGCACTAAGCAGTTCACATGTATGGTGGGGGGCATCTCAAGAGTTAGCTCTAGGGTTAGAATGTAGCTCACGTGTGTATGGGGTGTACCTTTTACCACCACAAGGAGAAGTAGAGAACATCACTCCCACACTTGGAATACCCTATGACCCTAAGCTTTCTCATCTGTGGATCCATCTTTGTGAAACAAATTCCCCCCTAAAATCTGTAGGGCTCCCACCTTCCTATCATCTGTAAAGCCAAGAAGACCTGATTTTTTTAGTAGAATATGTGGAACTTCAGATTTTTTCACTCCTAAGTGTATATTTCATTATGTGATTTTATACATGCTGATGTCTGTGTTTTACATTATCCTCCTAGTCTTGGGAAATGAATGGGGTATACATTTGAGTAAATAAATACATTTCCCAATTTCCTTTTCTCTGTAGGATTCTGCATACAGGGCTGCAAAAGTGGGGGTGCTGTAATAATGTGTTGCCACCGTCCCCTGCACATCCCAACAATTGTGTCTGCGTAAAAAGGCCAACCTTATCGACACTTTGTTTAAAACAGTCAGAGGTTGTTTCTCTCATCATATTAAAAAACACTTCTCTGTCTTCGGCATCGATCAAGCGGTCATAAAAGACTCGATAAACTTCATGAATCCAAAGTCTGATCAGTTTTTCTCCATCCTGCCAAAGAAAGGAAGAATGAGGAGGGGTATAAAAAAAAAATGGTAAGATCAATTTGGGGAAAAGTAGTCAGGTACAATAAGATCCTCCCTTGATCACTGGTTATTGAGAGACAATTGACATCAATCAAAATGTCTTTAGTAAATGTTATCAGCAACTCAAGACCCAAAATACCAAAGCTATTTTCTGCAATGCCCCAAATTCCCTCTAACCCCAAACTACACAAAACTAACAATATGATTGCCTATCATTTTGAAGCAAGAAGCTCTAACATGGATTTTTTGTCTGTTACAAAAGGAAAAGGTAACACACCTGTAAATGTGTATGTGGGCATAGCAGCACCCCTCGAATCACACGGGAGAAATCACGTAGATTGAAGACATAGTGAGATTTCGAAGGAGTTGGGAGGAAGTTCTCCATGGCCAGCTTGTAAATATTCATGGTTGCGTGGACCAGCATTTTGCCAAGTCTTTCAAAAGAACCCAAACCAAGAGGTGATTATGAGTCAGAAGAATACAAAGCCATGGGTCCAGCCACATGGGTTGGAAAGGAGATGCTCACCTTAAAAAGGTAGGTTCAAACCCTTTGCTGAAATGCCAGTCTACGATGGAAGTGAAAATCTTGGTTAAAACTTCATCATCAAAAGAACTGATAGAGATGATGTTCAAATGCCGGACAAAGCGCCCTGGGGGTACAAGGAAAGGAGAACACCAGATGATTGGACACTCTGCTTCTCCTTTTAGCTGATCTTAGGCAGACATTTGAATCTACTGGCAACCATCTTCCTAAACTACAGTTGTCCCTCACATTTCCTTCCACTAGTCCCAGGTGACATACATAACTTCTCCTCTGTACCTTCTGCACTGGGGGCTGCGCCAATGGGGCTTGATGATGCTCATGGCCCATGTAGCTCTGTCTCAAACCAGCACACAAGCAATTCTTGTAAGGTTAGTGACAAGAAGATTTCATAAGGATGTCTGCAGGGTATGGCCAAAGAAGTCAAGATGGTGGCCATGACCATGCAACTGAAGGTCCACCTGGGTTTTATGTGCTTTGATCACATCATCATGGCCTCAATCTTGAATCCCAATACTGCACATCTCTACTGTAGCGCTGGGCAGGGGTCAGAAACACTTTTTTATGTGCTTTGATCACATCATCATGGCCTCAATCTTGAATCCCAATACTGCACATCTCTACTGTAGCGCTGGGCAGGGGTCAGAAACACTTAGGTTCAAATCCCTATTCAGTTCACCTGGTGATCTGGGGCCAGCCTCTCAGCCCAGCCTGCCTCTCCAGTTGCCATTTTGAGGGACAAAACAAGAGGAG